GGGGGTTAAATGAGCAGAATCATTTTTAATAGAAAGCAAGCAAGCTGCAGAAAAAATGTCAACAGACTCCCAGTGGCTTTAATGCATGGGTTCCTTTTACAGGTCACTGCTGCCATGGATGTAGCACTTACGTACGTGGCAGAGAAAGGGTAAGCTGTGATTGTGCATTGTAGAGCATGTAAAACACATTGGTATGAACAGACTTAAAGTGACATTAAACCCTCAGATTTTTTAACATAAACCAATACTGTAATGTGTGCCTTACTGTAATCCATGGTAGTTTCCCTTCTCTTTGCTGCTCTTCCTTTTTTTAAATCCTCATGTCTTCTCATGCTCGGGGAGAACTTTCCTTTGCAGCTCAGGGCCTCTTCCTGTAGTGCTGGCTCAGGTTACAAACCTACACACAGACACCGTGTATCCATTCCAGAGACAAGGCAGTCTGCTGCAAAACAGATGTTCTCCCCAGCATGAGAACAGATACAGATTTAAAAGGAAGAGCAGCAAAGATAAGGGAAACAACCATGGATTACAGGAAGGCACACATTACAGTATTGTTTTATGTTAAAAAATCTGAGGGTTCAATGTCACTTTAAATTGTATTTTTGACAGCAAGGCTTTACAGATAATGTTATTCTCTCTAAACTTTTCTTGGGTAAATGCATCCTAATGCAATCCAGATGAATGATAAACACGATACAAGCACAAGCAAAAAAAAAATTTGTTTGTCGTCGGTGTGACCAGGATAATGTCCCTGTTACTCAGCCCATAAAACACACACGCCAACTTTTCAATGACTTTCCAAAAAGTTTCACGCTGCAATTTGCAATTTTCATTTGCTTCTCTTTGTTTCTGGCACTCCAGCGTAAAGCTTTTGATGAGCAATTTACGAAAAGTAGATTGAGATTGGAAAAAAAAAAAGCAAAAACATTTAACTCCAAAATGTTCCGTCTTCCACCCACAGAGAAAGAATCACAAGATACATCCAGTGCGACTGAATAGCATTTGTTAGATTGTGTTCATTATGTTATCATCACAGTCACTCCTCAGAGTTTTGAAAGATTATTATTCAAATGCCGCTTTTGCTTTTTTTTTATATATAAAGTCGTGTTGTGGAGACTGCCAGGTTGATGTCATTCCAGTGTAACCGATGACACCAATTAAATAAAAACATGCAATAATCATAAAACTCAAAATTAAGAAAAACACACATCCATCACTCTTACTCAGTTGTTATCAGCATAATGTCTCCATACAAATAGTACGAAAAAGGTCAAAATTATTTAATTCAAGGAGAATTATGAAGCGAGTAATTTTCACTCGCCTCAATAATGAGCCGACCTGTGACAATGAGACTGTCACAGGTCGGCTCAGTAGATCGGGAGGTGAGTGAACACATACCGGCGCTCGCTCACTTCTCTATCTATCCCTGCAGAGAGCCGTGACTGGAGACGATCCTCCAGCGCTGACTGGCGAAACAGACGGGGGAGGGGGCGGGCACAGCTGGCTCTGCCTCTGGATAGGCAGAGCCAGCTGGTAATCCCGCAGCTGGGTGGATCCAGACAGTATTGTCGGGATCCGTTCCGGCTGCGGCGTCTCAGTATACCGCGAGCTGAAGCTCGCTATATACTGAGCTTTGGGTCACGGGACAACTATAGTTTGTGTTCTCTCGTGACCCTTAGGAGAACTATGGGGAAAAGCCCTGACCCCATAGTTCTCCTTTAAAATACCGGGATTAAAAACTACCAAACAGTGACCAGAATAAGCAAGAGAAAAACCCCTCTTTGCCTCTTTCTGCCCCATGAGGATGTCACCATAAGCAGATGTGTTTCTCTCCCTTGGTGTTGGGGGCTAGGGGTGGAAAGGTTGCACTGATCTCCCCTCCTGGGAGGTATTCCTAAAAATGTTGGTTGCTGGAGCAAAAAGTGTCTGACCTAGAGGACACAAGCTGTGGCTATCCCCAACATATGGAAATGTGGTGAGTGAATTGATGAGTCAGAAGTTATGGACAGGAACCTTTCCATGCTATCATGCCTTGGAATATGAAGACTATGATACCACTTGAAACGCAATTGCCAAGGCGCCATACCTCTGCGTCCAACCAGCATAATTGGTGCATAATTAGGAAGGTACCAAGAGAAACTTTATAGGAGAAATTCAGAAAAGATTAAGCCCTAGCCCGGGGCTTAGGGGTGGAAGGGATGCACTGATCTCCACTCCTGGTAGGAATTCCAGACGATGCTGGCTGCTGGAGCCATG